AGAAATGGATTAGATATATTCACATAAGATCTATCTAATCTATCAACACCTCCTAGTGATAGTGTAATACAGAGATTAAAATGGTACTTTAGGCTGCAACAGCTGAGAATTGAGAGGGAACAATAGTAGAAAGAGAAACTATAGAGGAAAAGGTGATATGCTTATCTTGGAATTGGTACGTGAGGAAAAATGCTTAAGCCATCTTTCACGTCACAAAGATATCTTGTTCCAGCTTAAGTGAGTGGAAAAGAACACATGTAAAAGCTGATAGTTGTTAGGTTGACTTATATCTCTTAGTACAAATGAGCAGGATTTATGTTAAGAGAAGTTTTGATAGCAGATTCAAATGTCTTTTTTCTGTTATCTGAACCAAAAGCAAGTTAAGCAGGCTCTGCTTTTGCATCATATTTTAATTAAGGAGGGGAAAAGAAGGTTATTGTTCTAGGCTAAGTGTACCCAGTTAATTAACTTCTAGCCTGTGGAGATTTAATTTTATGTTTTCTCAATCTTAAGGATTTTCCTGAATAAATAAATAAATTTTCCTGAATAAAATTTCAGGAGAATTTCAGGAGAAAAAGACTCCTGAGAAAAAGACTATACAAATCAGAAAGGCTGATTCTCCCTCTTAAAAATTTCTATTGCTTTTGCAATTTTATTTTCCTGCATTGCCTTTTCATTTATTTATATATTTAGGACAGCTGTCTTTAGTGAAGTGAATAATAAGATTTATTCATTGCCTTAAATTACAGTAAGATGGCCATTATTAAATACCCTATATTGTGGCACCTCTTGATTTTCTTTTTGCTTTTTGCACTGAAAGTTTCCTTGTTCAAAAGAAAAAAATATTTACATTCTGCCTTTATTATTTGTTTTATAAATAAGGCAATGAAGATACCCAATACTCCTTCCTCCTCTTTTCCTCACAACAACTCCTCTGTGAAATGGGTTGGGCTGAGAAAAAGGGACTGACCCAAAGTTACACAGCTGAATTTCATGCCTAAAACAGGACTAGAACTCAAAAACCACCTTGAACTGATTTCTAGGCTGGCTCCTTAACCACTATACCAATTCTAGCTGGTTGTAAAGCTATTATTTCAAGAAGGGAGATTAGCATAAAAACTTGTGTCTACATTTTCTTTATATATTGTAAGAAAAAGCTAATCCTGTTCCTCTTATATTAGAGTATCTGTCCAATTTGAGACTGTCATGTATGTCTGTGTCTGTGATTGTTTTATACCACTTTATTCAGTTTAACTTTCACTGATCACTAAGATTTATTTCGCAAAGATTAAGATTGGAATTATAATGCCTCTTATGATCTAAGGATGTTTAAGAAATATCAATGTGATATAGCAGCTTAAGCACGACACACCATTGAGTCACAGTAATAAATACAGCAGTTGAAGAAATTGCAACTATATTAAGTAACCAGATCCGAGCTGCAAAAGTCTGGATGACATCAGAAAGCTTTAGGTATCTCTTTGCTGTCACCTAGAAGTCAGTTAGATGTTTTCAGTCCAGATCTAGGGAAACCAATATTCCTAATCCATTGAATTTAATTTATTCCTCATGCTGGAGAGAATTTGCAAACTCCAGACTAAGCTCAAATGAATTCTGATAAAGATTAAATCATGATCAATTTGTGGCGAGATGGGTAGAAAATAAATTTAATAAAATAATAATAATCAGTTCTAATGATTGGAACATAATGTAGTTTTCTTGATGCAGCCGGTGGACACTGTGGTGAGGGGCATTGCTATCCTACACAATTGTTTACAAATTAATTGGACAAGTGGTTGGCATTTCTTCCAAGTGGTCTAAATAGTGTTCCTATGTTTTTGAGAGAGGGTCCCCTAAGCATGAGATTTTGTCTCAGCAGGAGCTCTAATATCACTGCTCAGGATCAAACAGTGGCATCCGATGCCCCATCAGCACTTTTTTTTACAAAGAAAAGTGAGCCTACCCCTCAGTTTGGTGTGGAAACAACCCTTTCCCACCTTCCTTGGTGTCTGCTTAACACTGAAAACAATTGTCCACAGATTCCTACCTAGGCATAGGTTTTTTACAGAGACAATGCCAAGCCAAGTAACATTCTAAAACTAGAGGTGCTATGTAAGTAAGATGGCCTGGAAACCAAACCAAGCCAAAACCAAACCAAAATAAGTCATCTTATTTTCACAGATGTAAATGGACCAGTTAAGGTTACTTAGAGGAGAGAGAAAAAAATACCAATCAGCAAAACTCAAACTTCCCGTTGTCAGACTCTCTCTCTTTTCCATTTTAATCTGATACATAGATTTAAACTCTGATTTCAGAGTTTAAGTTAATGTCTTTGTTATTATATAATCAACAATTTTGGGAGCTGGGTTTAAGTAAAAGACACTGATCAGATTAGTAGCAGTTCTGTGAGGGGAATAAACACTGAATGTCTATAGTTCTTAACTATATGAGCTACATTAAACCCTATAGGTTCAATGTAACTGTTTACAGTGTAATGTTTGATGCTACTTTCTATTTCTGTGACAAGGTTTTTGCTTGAAATTTTCACTGCAGAATTTTGGTGACACATTGAGAGGTAATATTATTTTAAGGTGAGCCTAATTATGTGATTCTGAAAACTGATTTTTCTCTATCAGATTAATTTCAGAAAAAAAAGCAGTTCCAATCCGGTGAAAAAAGTATATTTGTATTGCATAATTACATCTACATCTCTTTCATTCTCTTATTTTATTTTATGTACACTGAGAACATATGCAACAAGACAAATTCCTTGTGTGTCCAATCACACTTTGCCAATAAAAAAAAATCTATTCTATTCTATTCTATTCTATTCTATTCTATTCTATTCTATTCTATTCTATTCTATTCTATTCTGATGTCTACCTGTAGTTAAAAAAGATGGAGAGCTAAAAGTAAAGGAATTAAAATATGGGAGGGAGGGAGGGAGAGAGGAAGGAAACCTGAAAAATGAATGGCAGGGACACTTATTAATATATGGTGATCCATTAGTTTCTATGCAGAAGTGTCTTGTGTATGACTATTATCAATGAAATATCTCTGAAAAGTACCTTAATTCTTGACATTCAGTTCAGGGCTACTGAATGAATAATAGGATGATTTTCTGCCAAGAATTAAAAATATATTAAACTTTATGTTGAATTTCCTCTTTAGTTTATTTTTTATACATTTCTCTCCTAGGCTTTCGGCTACTTTGATTTTTTGTTTAATTTGGAAACTTTTGTTAAAAAGAAAAATCTAAAGACATGCACGGGAAAGCCCAAACTACTGAAATTCTGCACCTGTAGTGCAGTTTTAAAAGTACTGCATAAAAGTATTATGAAACAAAGGATCTTCCTTTTGCCCCCTTTACTGTTAGTTTTTTGTAACCATAGATGAATAGCAAAAGCAGAGGCAAACTTTTTCCTTTAACATTAATGGTTACCTCTGAATCGCGTCCTTCTTCCAGAAAATCAAGATTGATGACCTTAAAATTCTAAAATATATTACATTTGTGTTTTATACTTTTATAACTGTTTCTATTGGATTAAAGGCTATTGATTCAATGTTTTAAACAAACAAATATCCCTATAATATAGACCCAACTGGGACAAAGTTTGATTTTTCCAAGCCCACATAGCCCTTCAAATCAGTTTTACATATTTAAACTCACATTTCTTTAGTTACTATATCATAATAAAGAGAGGAAGGATGCAGTGAAAGATGATCATTGTTGCTGTGGGTAATTGCTGTTACAAAGTGATGTTTGCCCACTGAAATGTAAAAAAATAAAAAAATAGCAAACATATGGTACATTTTAATTCTGCTATGAATCATGCCTGATGTCTTCTCCTATGAATCATGTACAAAATGAATCATGACATAGGCATACTTCATCTCTCTGAAATTAACTCAGCCGTCTCTAAGATTAAGCGGTTTATATACTTCTCCAATAGATTCTTTCAGACTCTTCAAAATTCAGGCAACTTTTTCTCAATACTTATACTAAATCATTTCTGGGAAGTTTTCTTTTCAGCTTAGAATAAGGAATTGTATATTGGAACATGAATAAGAGAGTTTGGTTACAAAAGGCAAAGTAGACTTCAGTGAAATTCCATTCATTGTTCCGTGTTTACATTTTTGGCTGTTGTGGAGTTAGCATCAAAATCCCTCAGTGATGCCTGTTTTTGCCATTGTGTTTTACAATGCCAAATTTAAAAAGTGACTCATTCTAGCTCCCAAATGACTAAACCTTGAAAAGATTACAGGGGATTTTTTTTCAGCATATGAGTAGGTAACTTTTCCAAGTGTTGCACTGTATATATGAAAAGACTCATACTCATTCTAAAGGTCTTCTGCACTTTCCACTGAATCTTAAAACATTGGATTCTCCCACCCCCCCCAAAGATTCTAGTTTGAAATAGCTTATTAATATTATGCTAACAGTCATAGTTACAACAGTATCTGTTTTGAGGGAGGGAGGAAATTATGTTCCTCTGAATGATTTCTTTTTAATGGCGTACAGAAGACAAAGTTGAGAGAGGACCTCATAGCTGTCTTCAAATACCTGAAACGCTGTTTGAATTTTTTTTTTTTTTACTTTTTCTAGAGTTTAAGACTGGAACTAATTGGATGAAATTTAAAAGATGTATATACAGATATTAAAAACTCATGGAGAGTAAGAGCTGTCAATCAGTGGAACACATTACTCATATGCAGTGGCCCTTCACTGAGGTTTTCAAATAGAAGCTAGGACAGTCATTGATAATCATATTGGGGATTGTGTGTAGTGAATCTTGCATTGTGCAGGTGATTGGTGATGACCTCTTGGGTGCCTTCCAACTCTGTCATTTTACGATTTCATGAAATATCAGTTAGCAAGTTGATTTTCCAACAGACAGAGACATATTTTCCTGCTTTGGGCTGAAAAACTATCCAACCTCAAGGAACTGCTACTAGGATTTCTCTGTGCTACTGGTTTCCGTTTTTTCGCCTCACCCCAGAATGCTTTTCCGGCTCTATTTGAACTGAGTTCTCTGAAGGTTGGGATTCGAAACTGCAGAGTCAATCGCTCAGACACACGCAAGCGGCACGAACAGAATGCCCCCCCCCTCCGCCGGGTGCGGGACGGTGGAAGAGTGTCACTCGGCTGGTTCAGGTTCATCTCCCGGTTAGCTGTTTCCTAACCCGCTGGCGGCTTGAGTTTTCTTGTGCTGAACGCACCCTGACCTGCCAGGCTTGGATTCAAGGCACGACACCCCGCACTCCCGCTCAAGAAAGGAATTTTCGGAGAAAGATAGCGGCGGTCTTTGGAAGACACGGGCATTGAACCATTTGGGAAGCTTGTAAACGCCAAGTCCGAAATTCTCAAATAAAGGGAATTAGGTAACAAAAAAACTTCTCTGTTTTCTTTCTTTTTTTCTTCCCAAGGAGATCTTTGAAAGGTGTGGGCTGCTTTTAACCTTAGGCAATAGCTGGCGATATACCATAAACTTCAATTAGTTAAAATGAAGGGATGCAGGAATGCGTAATCACGAAGGAAGAGGCGTACAAGGGAGCGGTCAGCGATCCAGCGAAGGTTTCCCTTATGTGCTTTTGTTCCAGAGCTGCTTCTCCCATCCCACCCACCCACCCCGATTTTACTGTGCACGAGAAGATTTCTTCTACCACCACTTCCAAATCATTCCAAATCAGAGAGGCTATTCACCTCGTACAGAATTTGTAACGTGGAACGTAGCAGATTTGGGATCCACATTTCCGCATTTCCACATTCCCTTCAGTGGCAAAGAAGAGAAAGATTCAGCACGTTACAGCTCATCTTCTGGGAAGGTGCAACTTATCTAAGGCAGTGTTTCTCAATCTTAGCTACTTTAACATATATGGACTTCAACTCCCAGGATTCCTCAGCTAGTCAGCTGGCTGGGGGATTCTGGGAATTAAAGTTCACACATTTAAGAGTCTCAAAGATTGAGAAACACTTTTAAGGGTTGCAATACATAACCCAATAAACTACTTTATGAGAGTCCAGATTGTGAAATCTGTTTGCTATATAAACCCATAATACTGGATTTATTATTTCCTTACAATGGAATACTAGGTTGAGGAAATCACAAAGGCTTCCAAATACACTAATAGGAGAAATACATTTCTCAAATCAGGGTGAATTAATTTGCTTTCCTGACACAGAGCATGAAGTTGTGCTCTTCCCAAACTGTGGTTCACAATACCCTAAACTATAAAGTTACCCAGGCATTTGAAGACAAATGCCACAAATATTGATTTCCCTCAACAAGTGCTAAAATTATAGCAACAAAAATGCATAATATTAATAGTGACTAATTTTACATATTGTTTTCTGATCAAATAAGTTCACACAATAAGTCAAACCAAACAAATCACATTATGGTTTAGTGCAAATGTAAATATACTGCTCTTATTTTGAAATACATAATAATGTATTAATATTAATAATGTAATGTAATGTTAATAATAATGTAATAATGTTTCATAAAAGGAAACTTTCATAAAAGGAATTAATTTATTTACAGATACAACTGAGAGGAAAAAAAAGTCTCACCTTTGCTTTTATGACTGGATCAGTACTCAGAAAGTCTTTGTAAGGTCTTAAGATTATAGCCAAGTAGGTCCAGTGGACTTACACTGCTCCCATAATGTTCCTTAGTCCATTCTTTTGAGTAAATTAAGGCAATGAATGCACTCATATACATACATTTAAAATGCCATCGCTGATCAAACTACAAATATAGGAAGATTGTTTTAATCTCCATTTTAAGGAGAGCAAAATTATTTCAAACCTTTTCTGGCTTTCACCTTTTCCTTTAAACCTTTTCCCACTGATATCTGCATAGCAGTCACATAATACTAACTTTGATGTAAAATCACAGTGGAAAGAAAATTGGATCATCAAATGCCCAGACTCTTCTCAGCTGAAATCTGATAACTTTTGTAAATCACATTCAATTTTCCAATCAATGCTAAGAGAAACTGGAACTTGATATCTGATTTGCAATAGTTTATTTTAATATCCCTCTCTCTCCTCAGATGCTGCTGATGAGCAAGATGTCAATTCTGCTGAGAATATGGATGACACTGAAGACAATGAGGAATTCCTAGAGAAGCTCATATCCATTACCTCGAAGAGTTTACCGAAACTGGAGGTAGAGGAGAGATACAACATAACCAGAGAGCTAGGGAGTGGCTCCTATGGTCATGTGCTACAGGTTCAGCATCGTGAGAGAGGTAAGAGTGTATAAATGTGGTGAACATTTGATTGGGTTTAAATAATATGGATAGCCAGGAAGATCTAACCTGTGTTTGTCAATATATCTGTTGGAGCATCTCAGGGTCCCCATTTCCATTATTTCTCAGATTCTTTCAATAAAAAAATAAATCTATGGAAAACTGGTATTCTATTTTTGGTATGGAAATCTATGAAAAATCGGTATTCTATTTTTTGGCAAAATTTGAAGAGCTGCCACAAAGAAGAGAGGGTCAACTTATTTTCCAAAGCACTCAAGGCAAGACAAGAAACAACAGATAGAGTTATAGTAAAGATCCAATTTACATAGAATTTAGGAGAAATTTCCTGACAATGAGAACAACCAATGGCACAGCTTGCCTTAAAAAAGTTGTGGATGCTCCATTACTGGAGGCTTTTAAAAAGAGATTGGGCAGCCAACTGTCTGAAATGGTTTGGGGTGTCCTGCTTGAGCAGAGAGTTGAACAATATATTGAACATAATCTATGTTCTATTTTCTAAAAAAACAAAGGGCCAGCCTGATGTGCTAAGGAGTATCTTGAGGAACTGATAGAAAGTAGGGGAATGTCCTTATTAGTCCTTATTATCTTCTGGCAGATGCTTATTTTGAGTGTGCTCATGCCCTATCAGCAGGTGACATGGAAGCCATAGTTCTCAGGGTGAAGTTTTTCTAAGAAATTCTGCAGGTACAGTGAGGGCTGACACACCTTTGCCCCTCTTTGAATCCAAATATTAACTATATTTATTTAGCCCTTTGTGAACAAAACTTTGGGAGCCATAAATTCATTTGGAATATTTTTAAGTCTATCATGTAACACAACATGGCCACGGGATTGCCTGTTCACCAAATAACTTCCACTGTATATCCAGCAAAGGTGCCAATTGGTTCTGAAGCAGCTTTTCCCACATCAAATGCAAATAATATGCATTTCTAGACTAGCCTATGGTTCACTTAAACCATGAATTATTGAGCAAGACAGTGATAATATTAATCCACAAATCTTGATTTATAAATTCCAGTGGCTGGATTTATACAACACACTAAGCCAAAACCGAACAAATCTTTTTCTAGTTTAGCATCGTGTATGAAGCCAGACCATGATATATCATGCTATTGTTTATCTGAGTTAATTCTGTTGTCCAATAGCTACAGGTTTATGAAGATCATATTGGAACGTCTTATTTACAGGTTCCCTGTTTAAGAATTCATTTAATTATGAGGAATTTAAGGGCTCCTGAGGTTGGGATTAAATTTTTATTTCATCAAGTCTTGACTTGGATTGAGTTTAGCCTGCACTGCTTGTTGCTCTTATCCAATTCACACTGCCTGCAATTAATTAACTGTGTCATCCCAGGCATGTGGACAGCTGCCAACAAGCAGGTGCTGCTTTGGCAAAGCAAAACCCAGCAAATAGAGCAGCAAATTGGCTAGCTTCCCAACTGTAAGGCATACAGAAGGAAACAATCCTTAAGAAAAATGAAAATGAATGGCAGATTGCCCAGCACCCATACAAGAAAATATACAGAATATGGATGTTTGCTTTTTTCCCTATTATATAAATTTCCCGTATTGTTTAATTAACTAGCTTCACAGTGCCACCTAGTGGGTTGCAGTAACAGCTCCAAGTTTGAAAGTGATTTTCTCCCATTATTTTTCCCTCCTCCCCTGTTTGGCTTCCAGTCCTGGGACTCTATGAAGGTCCCCCATTGATGTACTGACTGAAACTACTTAGTTTCAAAACCCAGACAGCATCAATCAGGTATTGCTAAGACATTGATACACATAATAACAAATGTGTCAACATTAACCTCTATACTCCATATCTTTTGATTCCAAAACCCCTTCCTTTGAATCAATATGACTTTAAGAATGTCAGAAACAGCTAACTAACTAGCAAACAAACTGCAGATAAGACAAAAGCATTTATTTTCCCATTTCTCTCTGTCCTTTAAAATGGACTCTGGATGGGGGAGGGCAAAGAATGCCTTGTTTGCAATTACTTGGAAGCTTATTCTGCAGAATCAAAACAGCATTGAATCAGTCAGTTTTCAGTGTAAATATTTCTAGCAGTTCTAAAAGATGCCCATGTTTTGCAAAGAGAGAGGACCTATGAAATAGCTGCATTTCATCAGCTTGTTTGCATCTATTAACGCATCTGCTGGAAATCCCAGCCATGTCTAGTCTCTTTCTTCCTCTACAAGGCTTTGTTCAAGCTGTTATGGGCCAGCCTCGTACTTTTTGAAAAAAAAGGAACTATTATGTGATTAAGAAAATTAGCATTACCAGATGTAAAGACAAGGCTTTTAAAGTTCATTTGCAGGTCAAAATGCATCGCAAAGATCACTAATGTATCAGTCTGGTCTTATGGGATGAAAATCTAAAAAAAATATTGTAAACTGATCAAGATTTCAGAAAAGTTTCTCCTGTAGCATTTAACATACTGTGCAAAACACAATATAATCCCAACATACACTGCATCTGATTATTATTATACTAAAACACAGTTAGCAGTCAGCCATTTTGGTATATGGTTAAGATACAATCTAAAGAACAAAACAAAACAGAAGTCTGTATTCCTATTCTGCCTTGGGCATGCATATGTATTATTGGTGCTACATTTGTGAACTACAATATAGCACTTCAGCATCCCTTAATTTATTGGCATATATCCTTGCTTGCAGGAACCTCAATGGCTTTGAAACTGATGTCCAAAGAACACACAGGGAGAAGGGAGTTCTTGTGGGAATATTGTGTTGCTCTCTGCCTCTCTTCACACCCTACACTTCTTCGAACCATTGGCAGTGCTTTTGAATCATCTACTCATTATGGATTTGCACAGGAGCTAGCACCGGCTGGAGATCTCTGCAGCATCCTGAACTCAGGGGTATAAAAATCTAAAGACTTTAAGGACACTGGCAAGATCTCATCAAGATATGATAGGGTGATATTTTTTGAGTGGGTACAAGAGGTGAATTAAGGATAGGATAATTATTAGATAAAAGAAGAATTTGCAATAAGTTTGTCAACTGTGCTGCAAATTCTACTTGTAATTGGAATGGTAGAAGAACAGAGTTTGATAGTGCATTAAATACTATTTCATTTATTTGGGGGCTTTTTTTGTATTCAACCAGGCTAGGTGCCCTTTTATTCTTTAAAGTCACAATTACACTTTTCTATGCATATATTTGCTTTCTTCTTTTGATTCTTTAAACTGTTCCCAAGTTGACCAAATGATAGTTTGGGTAATACAATTATATAAATATATATAACTTTTTAAAGAGAGTATTAGCCTATCACAGTTAACCAATCTATATCATGTATGCATGGTTTCTGTGGCAATCTTGAAAAAGCATTTCTTCATAAGCTTTCAAGACAAGGACTCCTTGATTAATTTCAGGGAGAATGTTTTCATATTGGTTCCACTGAAATCCTGGGAATTTTGTGGAGCTTTTCTCTAATTCTATTACTCTTTTCTTCAACAGGAGGGACTTCCTGAGGTGCAAGTGAAACGGTGTGCAGCCCAGTTGGCTGATGCCCTGGATTTCATGCATGGCAAAGCCCTGGTACACCGGGACATAAAACTAGATAATGTGCTGCTTTTTGACCAAGAATGCCAGCAGCTGAAATTAGGTGACTTTGGCCTGACACGACTGGAAGGCACCTGCATATCTGCTATGTCTGCTGTCTTGCCATATTCCCCACCAGAACTGTGCCTGCTAGAGAGGACAGAGTCTCTAGCTCTGGACTCAAGCCTTGATATTTGGGCCTTTGGAGTGCTGCTCTTCTGTATTTGTACTGGCTGCATCCCTTGGGATATGGCAATGAGCCCTGATCCTAAGTTTGAGGAATTTAGCATCTGGCAAAATCGCACAATACCAGGTGAGGCTCCAGGCCTGTGGAAAGTTTTCACAGCTCCTGCCTTGCGTATGTTCTGCCGCATCATGGCTCTTGACCCTAACCGTCGTAGCCCTGCTATTGAAGTGAACAAATACTTGCATTTGCCTTGGCGAATGGGTACTTCTGAAAAGATTCAGGATGATTTGTTGAAGACAATTAGTTCTGAGGCCTGCCTTAAGGGACCTAGTGAGGACAATACTGAACTGGGCAGAAACCTCAAGGAGAATTGCCTCCAGCAAATGCAACCTGAAGTCATTGCCCCAGAGAAAACTCATACCATACAGATGGGTCCTAATCCTGGAAGCAATCCCAGTCCACATGAAGGTTCAAGGCTAAATGGACCTGGGCTTGAGCCCTGAAGAAAATATCAGCTCTGAAAATAATGGCTCCTTTCATCAGGGAAAGACAAGAAGCTGTCTTACCTTATTCCTATCAAGGAAGAGTAGAACTAGTCACTCCGTAGGGAGATTTTCAGAATAGGAATGCTCAGTTCTATAGTATCAATGTAGCATCATGATACCTAGAAACAGTTCTAGAGAATTTTTTTTCTGGAATAGCCATCCTTTTTTCCTTGTTTTTTTATGGTACATCCAGATAATGCAACAAAAAGAAATCATTGCGATTCAGTATTTCTAGCTTTATCCTCTCATGGATTTTTTTTTTAATATCAGATTTTAAAGACGGTGCAGTAGCCTATCTAGTTCTGACTTCTCAGGATGATATTCTTTTAATATCTTCCACTTTGCAGTCTATGCATTTTTCTTGCATTAATTATGCATTGTTTAATTATATAACATTATATAAAAACTGTTTGCATTAATGCATTAATTCCTGGATGGGAATTAATGATCAATAGATTGTAAAAAATATTAATAGCTTCCTGAATTTTCTGAAATTGGAAACTTTTCATTAATGTTTTCCTTGAATTCTATTTACTTTTTTTCTTTTCTTTTTAAAGAAGAATTAGGCTCCTTAAAAGTTTTTTTTCTAATAGTTGAAAAGAACATATCCACAATTCAAGTTTCTGTCACAGGAATAGACAGTATAAATGCAGCAGTTCAGGGAAGATAATATAATAGTCTTTCATCACAAATGGCAAGTGAAACTAACAGCCTACAGTAAGAATTAATCTGTAACCTATCAATTAACTTTTAATTGAGTTTTAAATAACTTTTGCTCAATTAGATTAATAAGTAAATATAAATGGATCTTTTGCACAGGGAAAGGGTATTTGTACACTCTATTGACACTTTATTTGCATGAATTTTTTACATTATTTCTGCATGAAACAATTCACAAGGAAGTAATATTTTTGCCGTGTCAAAGGGTTCTAATATGGAATCATATAAAGTCTCATGTTTTACATCTGTAACAATGGTCTAATCATTGAACCAAAAAGGGTAGATAATCTTTGGGAAGTATGATATCCTGAAGTAATGAGTTACATAGATATACTATGTTTGTTTATTTGATTGTATCATTGAATTTCTATAATAAATTATCACAAAAGCTAGCTTGGAAGAGCTGGATGTCATGGGGTTCCAAATTGAGAAATTCTTGCAGAGGGAACATAATTCCTATCCTAGATTAGGGGTGAAATGCTCCCGGTTTGGACCGGCTTGGGCAAGTAGGTAGCGATGGCGGTGGGCAGTTCGGAGAACCGGTAGCAAAAATCCCTGCCCCCATCCCCCCATGCCCAGCTGAGCCGCGTGATCATCAGAGCCTTTTTTTTCTTTTAAATGGCTCTGACGATCCAAGCTCTGACGATCTCAGCTGAGTTGCCTGCTAATCAGTAGCAAAAATCCCTCCCCCTCCCCCCCTCAGCTTGCTTACCTTAGCTGCTGGTCGCAACGCCTTGCTGTAATCCCTGCAATCCATTACATCAGCAAGCAACTGAATCTCCCTGCCTGCAATCAAGCAGGCAGGGAGTTGTGGACTTCAACTCCCAGAATTCCTCAGCCAGCAAAGCAAAGCTGGCTGAGGAATTCTGGGAGCTGAAGTCTACAAGTCTTAAAGTTGCCAAGGTTGGAGACCCCTGTTCTATTGGGTAAGTTTTTTTTCCCTTTGGGAGCTTTAAAAAAATAGCTAATTGGGGTTTTTTTTAGTTGTTCTTTTTTTAGACCTAGCCATTTAAAGTTTAGGAAGTTTTAAATTTAGCTGCTTTTATATAAAAATAAAATAAAATAAAATAATATTTGTGCAGCTTTCTGAGATTTAGTGTGTTTCTGTAGTGTTTCACTCTAACTACACAAACACACAAAATCTCACAAAGCTGTATGTGGAATTTTGTGTGTGTAAAGTTGAAAGTTGGTTTTTTGGGCTTTTTGTGGCTGTGTGAGGTTCCTGCTTGTTGCAGGGGCCATTTTGGGTCTAGCACAGCTGCTTTTACATTCTGGGTGAGCCAGTTGTGTTGTGTTGTGTTTTGTAGGTTAAAAAAGGGCAAAGAAGTGACTTTGACTTAGCCCCGCCCGCCTGACCAACAAGCCATGCCTTCCCAGTCACCTTACCACCAAGCCCCACTCACTAATTAAGCCACGCCCACAGAACCAGTAGCAAAAAAATTTAGATTTCACCCCTGTCCTAGACCCTAGAGTTTTTGAATGAGATGGTGACAGTTGTGGAAACAGGTATTCAATTATCTTACTAGGAGCTCTCTTTGGGAAAAAATGAGATCTCAATTAGCAAAAAAAATAATTTCAGACTATTTTGCCTCCCCTTATATTAGAATTCTATTTGCATCTGTTTGAATTCCCTTAGTTAGTCTGATGTAGATTTTTTTTTCTACACACTTTCCTGACTGACAACTTTGGTTCCTATCCCATTCCCAATTATTTTTCATATTTATTATTTTGCAATTCCTAACAAAAATGTTGTTTGAATGATTTTAGCCTGCTGCGCTATTGGTGAAATACAGTCAGAAATTTGCAATAAAACTTCTAAGGTGCAATCAAACAATCAAAAATTAAAAGTAACATTAAAAAATACTCTCAAAATATATGTGTGTGTGTGTAAATTGTCCTTTGGAACTGCTCAAATCTCATGGCTGAAAAAGTTCCAAAGTAATGGTACTGCAAAAGGAAAATAACATCTGTGAGTTTCCATAACCCCTACCACTCCCAAATGGGAAATTATTAACATGTTCTCCCCAGGAACATTGCAATCAGTGAGTTGAAATCAAATACAGACAGTCCTGAATGAAAATCTGAATCAAAATGTTGCTAGGTCTTCTAACCTTCTAAGAGGAATACATCTGCTTACTTTCATCCAGAGAACTGTTCTATGCCCCAGGCTACTCCATTCCATTTCTTCTGCTATTTTTATTTTCAATTGACTTATTGGATTACATATCATCATGGTTTCTATTCTATCCTTCACAAAGCAATATGAAGCCATCCACAATAAGTTTTATTTCTGCTAAATTCAAAGGAACACAATGAAGAGTACTCACTGTCCTGCTGACCAGCAAGTGTATGGTAAATCAATCATATAATCCAGGGGTATAAAACTCAATTTTATTGAGAGTCGCATCAGGGTTGTGTTTGACCTTGGGGAGTCGAGGGGGCGAGACCAGGGTGGACATGGCCAGCTTGACATCACTCATGTCAGGGGGTGCCTGTGGTGGTCTGAGCGCTCTGCCAGTAAAAATGGGCTCCCAAGTTCCGTTTTTGGTTGCAACAGCCTCCTCTAACCTTCTGCCAGCGGTGCCCCCCTCATGAGCTCCATTTTTGGCTGGGACAGCTTCCTGTAATCCTCTGCCAATAAAACAGAGCTGGCAGGGACACCGTGGGCCAATAGTTCGCTGTTTCCAGAGCAGCCCTGTGGGCCAGATCTAAGCACCCCATGAACTGAATCCAGCCTGCAGGCCTTGAGTTTGACACCCATGACATAATCAATCAATCTACCCTGCTCTTTGAGTTACAAGTAGTAATACAAATTCCAAAGAAAATAAATTTCTGGTTCTAACCTTTCATATTTTTTAATGTGTGATGTGTGCATTTTGCTTGTATGCAAAAAAAACCGAGCAGTTGGTATGAAGTGATGTCCACCTGCCAAACTGGCATTCCTTTGCTTCATTTAAAAGCTTGTTGCAAGCTGTGAAAGTGAAACTATTATGTTGCTATTTTTTGTGAACAACTGCTGTTCCCAATAATTATAGCCATAGGTGCATGTTTCCATGGTGGCTGGAATGGAATAATAGGAATGCCTTTTCAACAATAACTATGAACAGGAACTAGGAATGGGATGCTGAGGCTCTATGCTTGGGGAGATGGAAGTAACTGTTGGCATGAATTATAGAACAGGAGGCCTGACGGAGTAAGTGTTCTCACCCCTAAGAAATAGATGATTTTAAAAAATAGTGATTCAAAATGGGGGGGGAGGTAAAAATTTACCTGGTTTCAGGTAAATTTTTGAGACCAAGAGATAAATTAATAAAACAGTTAATCTTCTCCTCTCCCATTATAAGCTAGTTTATAATATATATAGTATAAACTATATACCTTGGAGCCTATTGCTCTTTGTTTGCTAGAATAGCAATTGAACTTGTTCTTTTAAAAATACTATACACTTGCAATTTCTTCTTATTTCCCAGCAATATTCCAAGCAATGATAAGTGTTGTTTAGAATTGTTTCAGAAATTTATCCAGAATGTAGTTTGGGCAGCTAGTCTGGTCTATGTCACCCTCCTTTTTATCATGTTAACCTCGTTTTTATCATGCTGTCCTCCAACAAAGAGGCCACAGAAAGAATGTATTGCAGGAGCTTTCATACTTTCACACTTCCCCCTTGCATTGAGACAAGGGCTGCAGTGATATATTGACACATCAGAAATCAGACGGTAAAGGGGATATCAAAAAGAAAATGTGAGTGGACAAGACAAAATTTTGACTAAGTACTAACATAAATGCTATTCTTTAATAAATTGTTATCCCAGCAGGTGACAACACCTAGCTGACCTTGGGTTATCCTGAAAAAAATAAACAGAGCTTGGGTGAGAGATTTATAAACTCTAAGAAAAAAAAACAATATTAAATCACTTCAGTATTGTTGCCAAAACAATTGAATGGATATGGTGGATATGTGCATGAGTGCAGTCATCAGAACTCCAGTGATATTTTCTGACCAGATTTAATACACACACTTTTGCAATAATTCACTTTACCTGACAGTTCAACTGATTTCCAGGTTTAAAATAAATTTTTAAAATGAGCAATCTATAATTAAATCTCTCATATGCAGTCAGATTGTTAAGGATTGTCCCTAGCACCACAATTTTTGCACATAATTGTTGAACCGTAACTTGTGATTTATAACCTATGGTTGCTAGGATATGTAGAACATGCTAATCCAGAACCAAATGCATCATATTTGGCCTTAATACTCATAGAGGCAACATTTTCTAGCTACTTGGCCATACAGAGGAAGAGCAGTGGTGTCAAGATTGTAACACTGGAAATGAAGCAGAAAATATTAAGCATAGGGTAGTAGTGTTGGCAATATTGGAAGGACTTAAAATTCAAAATGGGAATGTTAAGTCTCACAGAATCTTTAATTTAAAATGCCACCTCCACAGTCTATGTTATGGTTCACTTGTATGAATAGAAGGCCTTTAGTGATAGGAATTATCATCTACTAATGCCTGCAACCAAAAGCATGGGCTTAGAGGGCAAGTGTTGGGAAGGTACCATTACTATTGAGAAGAGGAAATGCAGAGGAGGAGGAGGAGGAGGAGGAGGAGGAGGAGGAGGAGGAGGAGGAAAGAAAGAAGTGGAAGAAGAAGTTGTGAAGTTGAATGCTATAATCTGGATTGAGCTCCCCCCGGAGATACGGAGGATCCCGGATCTGCGCATCTTCCATCGCGCACTCAAGACTTTCTTATTTCATCAAGCTGGCCTGGCCTAAATCTTCTCCCCTTTTAAATGTAAATTTTAATTTGTTTTTAAAATTATTGGGTATTTTTAATTTGTTTTAGCCAAATTATTTAATTTGTTTTTATTCTATTTTAAATTTTTGTATTTATGTGTTTTATTCTGTGGCTGTTCACCGCCCTGAGTTCTTCAGGAGTAGGGCGGTATAGAAATCCAATAAAATAAAATAAATAAAATATAAGGCAGGAATCTTGGGATTGATTTGCTGGCTAGTTTAGGAAAGTTAGGCAAGACTTTGTTAATGTATCTGAGGTTACTTCTATTTTTTTTTATCAAGTTGTCCTTCAAAGAGTGCAGTTGAGCTGAGAAAGTTCATTGTGAGGTAGGTGGAATGTTGAAGTCATCAGTTGGTGGAGGAGAGATTGGAAGTTCTCTATGTAGCAATTTCCTTCCAAGGAGCCTGCCCTTGGTTATACTCTGAGCCGGTGAGCAGGCTTCTACACCTTGGTTTGATGGGATTGCAAGCAGCTTTGTCTGGGGACAGGAAAGATAAGGTAAATTTGTGTTGATGAGATTATGTAAAGAGATAACTGGATTTCACCCTGGTTGTGTCCACATGACAGGGAGAAAAAGGGTGTAACTTCCGTTTTGTTTGTTAGGTGTATTTTCTCCACTACACCTTTAATTGATTTTTTAGTAGTACTAATTTTTAAAATAATCTAATAGTTAAAGTCACTCTAGAAAAATACCTTCTTTTGTTTTCCATGCATGGAGATTCACTAGCTCACCAACTGTGAATTTGGGAGAATCCCAATATCAGATTTTTCTAGACCAAGTCAACTGAAGGATCAAAATTAGGACACAAACACCATCACTCATTTGGAGCATCAACTATTTCAAATCTTACTAGTTTAGCCTGCTTGTAGATTTGTGTAGAGTATTCCTTTTTCCCAAGTTTTTTCCCAATTTCATTTGCTACATTTTGCCGGTACTGCATTTTTCTATAAAAATTTTAAGACAATTTTTTTTCATAATTTCGCTCTTCTGGAAAATCTCCACTGTCTTCTAAGCATAGGATTCATGGGAACTTTGTACTAGAGAGGCCTCAACTTTTCCCACTCATCAGATCTGAGGATAGTAATTATTAATAACCTCACATATGTACTGCAAGTTTTTTCTGTAATTGACACTTAGTACCTTTTCCACAATCTCAGCTGGAAATAACGTGTTTGACAAGCTCAGATCAAAAATATGTATTACCTGAAACTTCATCTTCTTGTGCTTTAAGGTGGACTGAAGCAGCTCAGAAACTTGTTCATGACTCTATTTTGGTTGCTTTTGTTACAAAGCCTGGTTTATCAGCTAGGTATTAAGAAAGAAAGATACTTATGTGCCTAATACATTAGAAAAGGGACTACCATGAGCTTCATCAAGCTTCTGAAGGGAAGATGGAACAAACATTCAATCAGGCTCTTCAGATGCCAGTATAAATAAAATCATACCATGGTCTCAGAACATAAAATACTTAAATCTCTTGATCCTTAACACCATGTTGCCTGATACTGTCTCTCAAATTCTTCCAAAGGAAAATTTGGGGCCCTGGATCTTTAGGCCAGTCTAGATAAGCCTTCCTCTTTACCTCTTTACCAGCTTGGCTGGATGATGACAGGCTGAAAGCTTGTATCATGTTCCATGAACAGCAGGATCATTGTGTCCTCTTGTTCAGCCAAAAGACAGTACGTGACCAGATTCATCTCAGAAGAGGATAGAAACTGGCCAGGGCGTGACAGCTGATCACAAAGAAGGTCTTTTGGGTGTTATAAAGACTTTCCATAATATTATCCACAATAGCTTTGTCTACCATAAACTCTCAGTTTGGCAATCAAGAGTTTCTGAAAGGGAGGGTCTGTCTGTTCCATATCAGGCACCAGTTGCCATAATACCATTCTTGGCTCAGACTGAACCAAGTAGAGGGACATCACAGTAGAGGGAGCAAAAAGACTGGGAAAGACTCTTGGTATCCTCTCTAATAATAAAGGAAAAAGCTTCAGCCTTGGGAATAATTTTGCATAACAACTACAAAAAACAACAACAAATATAAAAATGTGTATATTTACAAACACAAACT